GTGAGTGAAGGTGTGAGCTGTGTAGCTAGTGAAAAAAAAATTCTAAAGGCCCCAATTGAAAGAGTTTAAGGTATTATATTGAAGATGTTGACCGTCTTATTATTAAGATAACAATTCCATTAATTTTCTTCCCTCCTGTTGCTGTTATTTATCAACACATTCAGGTCACTGCCTTGAATGAATCTGCAGGAGCCAACAGTACGCCTTAAATTTTGATGCCCATAGAAAGTATGATTCTGCAATTCATACTGTATGTCGGCTTATATCATGCCATTTTTTCCATTAGCTGATTATTCATAGAGTTTTTTACATCAACAAAGTACTTAAATACACCGCTATATTTTCTTTGCTGTTATTTCAGTGGTATTAAATAGCTTTGTAATTCATGGATGTGCACACCCTCTGTAGCGACACCTAAGGAGCGCTCTTAAAGAATAGCACACTGAAGCCAATTATTGTTAATAAAAAGTAATGTTTTCTTTATTATTGCAATAATCACTGATGTTTACTTGTATACTTGATGTGGATACTTGATGTAAGACGCTCAAGCTACAGCGTAAGTCAAGGCGAAGTGCGTTTTCTAACTTTCAATGCGCAACGCCTTCTAGGCGACGAGGCAGCTGGCGCCACGGGTCACCTAACACCGATGACAACGCACGTGTGGCACAGATCTTGTAATCTACCGATGCACATTGGTAATTTTTTCTGTCTTTTAAATATCTCTGTAATGTCAGGAAATGAAAATTTGTGTAGGCCTAGCTGCTCAACAATGATTGTCAATGTATTTAAAACTTTTAGTCTTCGTGTAACATTTCACAACTGTATAATATCGCACCGATTCAACAGTCTTTCAGCTACGGCTGTTTTTAACGCGGCAAGCGATAGCGCCCGTTGTGCACAACGTGAAGTGTTTGCCAGATGCTGTTGGGGCAAGCAGACTGATGGAAATTGCTGGAAAATTGAAATCACACTGTCGTAAATGCGGGGGTGTTTATAACATATCAATATACGAAAACTGATGAGACCAACAAGAAGTGTTGTAAATGCCGGGAAAACGTAAATTGTGGGAACGTAAAAGCGAAGTTTTACTGCATTTAAGCTACAGCACCAGCAATTTCCAATTATATTTGCATTTTCTTGATATCCTGATTTTCATTCTTTATTAGGGTTTTTAGATGCAGTCTCAGAATGCTTCTGTGACAATAAAAAAGTGCTCAAAAATTGCTTCATTTTGATGATTGTTAAAAAATACTAGTTTTTGGAGACTTAAGTCTTGAGTGTTCCACTTCTCATTTGGATGCAACTTTAATCCCAAGTTTATTTTGTTTGTTAGGTTCATCACGGCAGATTGAGCCTCGCAGACAAACATTGAGTCGAGAAGTTTTGTTTGGAGACACATGTCAGGATGTTGCTACTGCCATTGGAGCCCCTTCAAGGGTTTTTTATAAAGCGGAGGATAAGATGAAAATTCATAGCCCGAATGCGCATCGCAGAGTTGCAGCACGTCGATCAGATTTCTTTTTTAACTATTTTACTTTGGGAATGGTAAGTATATATATCATTTTTCTTCTTTCATTGTAAAATATTTCTGTTTATAAATGTTTATTTCAGTAATTTCTAAACTCTGTTCTGTCTTGTTAATTATTTTAAAAGAAAAAAGTAGAAGAAAATACTGATTGTTCATTGTACCCTAGATTATAAACCATGCTTACCTATTCTAGTTATATAGTGAGAGATATTATTTGGGTGGAGAGGGAGGGGAGAAGAGAGAGAGAGAGAGAAAAAAAAGTTTTTTCTCATCCTTCAAATAGATATTCATGCTTCGAATATGAGACATATTAACCTCAAGTAAATCTTAGCAAGTGTATAAAGACCACTATAAAGATGATTTTCTGGAGCAACATACTAGTATCTGTGCAGAAGGCTGCAGATTTGAGTCTGTTTGACATGGATGTTTTCGTGATATGTTAGAAGTTTGATTTGTGTCAATTTGTATTTCTTATGAATCATCATCCTTGCACTTCTCATGATCACTCCTGCTGCCATCCAACCAGAGGAAGACGATGGCAAAATACCTCTGTAATCGCCTGCCTTAGAAAGGGGAGGGTGTTGAGGGTTGTCTCCTTCCTCTCCTAGTTTTGGCAATGCAATGTGGCCACCATCATAATTAATAACCAATGCAACTGTGGCTTTGTATTCTTGTTGCTTTTTAACCTTTTCATCAAGATTTTTTAAAATGTTGATAAATAAAGATTTTTGTCCATTTATTCTTTGTTTAATGTGTTATTAGATTGTTGTTTTACTATTTAATGTTATAAGTCATATTTAATGTTAGGGTAATTATTATTTGATGCTCTATTACTACTATGTATATCTCAGACTTTTTTCTTGTTTACAAGGCAGTTATAATCTTGGGAACTTGAGTTAAAAATGATAGCTGGGTGTCACTGCACAAATTCAAAAGTTTGTTGGGGAGTCTTTTAATTGAGAAATGTGAATGAAGAAAATGTAATAGTTTCTTTTTTGTAATATTTGGCATTTATTTCATTCAATACTTCGTTTAATCTGACCAATCTGTAGAGAATTAAATGAATTTTGCTTTCTAATTTTGCCTTGCAGGATATTCTTTTTGATGCCAAAACTCAAAAAGTGAAGAAATTTGTTCTACATACAAATTTCCCTGGGCATTATAATTTCAATATGTAAGTGTGTATTTGCCATGCATCTTAATAGAAACCAAACAGATTATTGGAATGCTTACACAATTTTATTGCCTAGGTATCATCGTTGTGAGTTCCAAGTTACACTTCCTCCAGATTTGAGGCAGACGTCAGCGGAGAGCAATAAATTAATTGATGTTTCTCCAAGTCCTGTGACGGTGAGAAAATTTTTCTTTATTCTCCTTGTATGTGCTGATGGTGGAAGTGACTTAATAGAGGACATTTTAAAAGGAATGTATTCATTGGGAGAAAAGACAAGTTGGTGATTTTTCATTTAAATGTGGTTATGAAAAATGAGTAATATTTTACTAAATTGAAGTATTTTATATCTTTAACACTTAATGTATGATAATTAAAAATCCATATCATTAAATGCTTCGTAATTTCCTAATTATCACTCTTTAAATCCAGTGGCATCAGCACTTTTGTTGATTTCAACTCTTGTATTTCATTTGTGTCTGAAGGTTTGACTGAGAAGTGCATCCTTTTATGTAGTTGTTCTGTTTTAAATACCATGGTATAGGATAGGTAACTGAGAATGCATGTTATAGTGCAATATCAATAGTATGTGTAAGTGAACAGAACTACCTGTAAATAAACAAAGTACAGTAAAATCTGTCTTGGGTGGAATCGATTGGACCAAAAAACATTTCGATTTAGGGAGGTTCTGTTTCATAAAGAATTGTCTCATATTGATATTTTTGCCCTGAAACTAGTAAAGTACTGACTTTATTGTAATTATTAAAAATATTAAATATAACATTTATGGAAGAAACCATCAATAAATTAATATTAAACATATTTCTGACAATTGAAAGAAAAATCTGCACAACTTGTGCACTAAAATAATTTTTCCCCCTCCCCCAACATTCATCTACAGTTTTTTTCTTGGTTTCCCACTTACCTCTTCTATTATGTTTTGAAAGTTTTTCTTTTATTCCAACCATTGTTAAACTGGTTCTAAAATTCATAAAAATACACCATCTCACTCTAGTGGCTGCAGCCAGACTGCTCACCATCTCTTCAATGCACAATGCATTGCAGCCCAGAGTACTATGTCTTTCTGATACTTGGCATCGCATGGCCTTGACCAATGGGGGCTTTGGCCAAGGGATTTTGATTCTCATTGTGGGGCCGAGAGATGTGTAAACAGAAGTCCTGCACGTTCAAATTCCTATGCTCAGGGAGCCGGAAGGGTGGAATTCCCTACCGCGTACACCTTGCACTTGTGTGTGCGTCGCATACAAGCGACTCCCAAGGTCAAGTTCTACGCTGGCAGCTGAAGCCCCATGCCTTCACTGTCTTGCTACCATGGCTGAAATGCATATCACAGGGACAGAGAAATTAAAACAGACTTGCAAATGCATGTATTCCATTAAGAGATTCTCACATCACTCTGCCAGTTACATTAAATTCATAGAAGTTCCATTTTATAAGGTTTTCTTTTGCTGCAGGACATTAAAAACCCCTCTGTTTCCACGTTGGCCAGGTTCTGTTTTATGCTGTGTAAAATACCATTTAACTTCACTGGTCGAAGAAATTTTCCGATTAAGGCAGATTTCCGGCTTGTACAGGTTCCGGTTTAGACAGATTTTACTGTAATATCTTTCAGTTTTGTCAATGCACTTCAAATAAATATTTCTTACCAAATATGCTTCTCTTCAATAGTTACATAACCTTACAGCCTTCAACAAATGCATGCTTCATGATATTGTCTTTTTGGATGGTTATGAACCAGTTTTTTCTAAATCTATTGCCAACCTTTTATTCCAGATTTCAGCATATACTAAGTGGGATGCTATATCTGAACAGTTGAAGCCAAGTGAGAGACCAGTTGTGCTTAATCGTGCTAGTTCTACCAATACAACAAATCCATTTGGATCCACGTTTTGTTACGGATACCAGGATATAATTTTTGAGGTAAATTATAGTACATTTCTGTATGGCAATTTATTTATAAAAAATATTGCTTGAGGCTCCATTATCTAAATTGTAAACAATAATACAAATGAGTATGACAAATGTATCATATGAATATTTTGTAAATATTTCTAAAGTTTCTTTTTTGAAATAAAAACCTTTGACAATTTTTGTGACAACAGTGAAGTATGTAAATTAGTTTGGTAGAATACGAACTCAAAAATTATAAAGTAAGCAGAAGTTATAAATGTTGTTTTAGGAAGTTTCTCTTGCTGTAACATGAAAGGAATTAATAGAATTTCTATATTTATGGAAATACTGGCCTCATTTAAGAAAATCGTTATGCTTATGCCTTTCTAGGTGATGCCAAATAATTACATTGCCTCTGTGACACTTTACGCTGGGGAGAGACCTGGTCCTGAGGTATGACAATGGCTTTCTGCCACCTACCTCGTGCTGCAGGGAAGGTACTGGCAGTTCTGACAACTTCACAGCGTGATATGAAAATGAAACTTCAGATGTAAGTATCCAATCCCATCTGAAAGATTAGAAGATGAGGGTTGTCCCACAAAGCCAATTCAGCTGCCAGATTGAAAGGAGTTGTTCTGTCTGGAGACAGATGTGTATAACAATATTAAATTTTGAGATATGTTGTGGATGTGGAATATCTTGAAAGTAGTTATTTAAGCCATACACTCATATGGTATGAGAAGAGCATGATCTCATAATGTTTTGTGTTGATGCAAAGTACATCCTATGTTTGAGCAGAAATGAAGAACATTCCAAGTGTTTCATAATTACTATCATGTGTGTGGTGGTTAAGTCTGTGTTTTTAAAACAATTTCAGAGCCTTTGTGTATACTCATTTCTGCACAATGGTAAAGACAAAAGTCTTTGTCAATTTTACTGCATGATGTCAACTACAAGAGTCAGTGATGCATTATAATGCAGAACCCAAAGCAATTCACGAAGTTAAATTCTTTTTAACAACATGGCATGCTTAGACAACCCTCGATTGTACAAAATAAATGCCATTGGAGGGCACAGGCCTGCTCTTATTGCAAAAAGTTAACACCAGTTCAGAAAAATGCTTGGAACTTTCCTGTAAAAAATTGAAATAAAAAAGAACACAAAAATCATAGATAGAACGAAAAAAAGCTTAAAATGGGAAAGAAAATGTTCCAAAAAAAGTTCATTAGTTGGATTGTTGTAAGCTGTAAGTCTGCTTAACAAAACCAAAGCCAAGAAGAACTCTATAGCTTTTCTGGTGATTGTGAAGAAAGTTCTTCAAAATTTAATCTTATTACAAAATTTCCAATTATTGTAATTCAAAGTGTGAATAATCACATTTTGCATAAAACTTATTCAGATTTTCTTCATAAATAATCCACAATTTATTTCTTTAGATAATCTTAAGGCTTAATAATAATTTATTGTGATCATTAATTTTGTATGATAACCAGATGGAATTCATGTAACAAGCACAGGGCATTCTTTTTACAATTGTATATTATTGTAGCACTATTTTACAATTGGAAAAAATCGTAAAATATATGTCTCAGATAATATTCAGGGTACAAATTGTGGAAGTACTGAATGTTGAAGAAATATTCTGAATTCACCTGTTTGGCACTCTCTCTTACCATAAATGACCTCATACTAGTAATTGTGAAGCAGGTCAGGTAAAATAAAGCGTCATGACAGTGTTTGGGAATTACTGCATAAATATGTAATCACTTTTGCATATGAAAATTGTGACATAGAAATTAGTCATTATTTTTATCAAAATGTAGTGGAGTATGCAGAAGTAAAATTGTCAGCAGTCTTCAACCCCCCAGAAAGTATTGAATTATGCAGGTTATTCACAGTTGTTTGGTAGGCATGCAAGAAATATTATTTGCAGTAAAGACATAGGTATACATTGACATTAACAAAGACCATGGCTGTAGCTAGTCAGAAATGTGCCTCATTAAAAGTTGGAATGTATGTTTCTTGATTTGCTGTTAGTATTGTATATTGTACATTGTTTAACAGAATTATCAGTCACAGCCCATAAAATAATAATGCGGTGGAGAGAAATATTTCACCATAATATGTTTTGTCTTTAAATTTGGATATTGGAATATTACATTTATCTAAAGTACTGGCCATATCCTTGGACTCTACATTTTGAGTCTTTATATTTAACATAACTTGGCAGTTCACTGTGACATTCTCAGGGTGTCAGTAAAACTATTTTCACAAATGTGTTGTTCAAGAAGTATCCAAGGAGGACTTCTTGCTGTTTACAATGCTCAGTACACAATCATTCATTAATTCACAATTTTAAACTGTAATTGTGTGCATGACAATTGTGGTAGAGTGTTATTTATGTGGCACAGTATACTTGCCAAGTGATAGCATGTGTTAATGCATCTTTCTGTTAAACAACTATTAGTGCTTGAGAAGTTCAGTGGTACTCAGCCAGCATGATGTCATTTGTGGATGGGGCTAGATTTTTAAATTATTACATACAATTTTTATAGTTTTGAGCTGTTTCAGTGCTCCACAGTGCTTACTGTCACCTGAGTATTGAGCTCTAACCTGTTCATATGGTATTACATGGTTTGTCAAGCAAATCATCAGTTGGAATATTTTAACTCATTACTTTCACTTCTTATTTTACACTATTAATTTATTTGCTTTTATTTAATTATACCAATGTATTTTATGAAATAGTGTAATTTTGCATTTTCATTGTACTTGACAAAGAGGTAATTGTAAGTGTTTGAAAAATACTGTAATGTTGTTACCTCCTTTTGTTTAATTATGTTTTATAAAATTATAGGTAAGTTTGAATGAGTCTTCAATCCACAAACGTCTATGATAGCACTTTCGATACGAATGCAATTATAGTTTTCGTATGTCATTTGAAAGATGGTAGTTCATATTTTAAAAACACATAAATATTTGAAGGTTTTTGCACAAGTCATGGCGATAGTCTACTTACACCGTGCGACCTGTGCTATTTTTACCTATATCCCTTTCTTGAGGAAATATTTCCTTCATTAAAAGTGTATCCCAAGAGGAATATAAAATGTGTATAGAGAGAGGACTTGGATCTTGTATAGGATCTTGTATGTTCTTTGGCAAGTTTATATTCCAAAATTAAAAGTGGTGATGTACAAAGTACAGCTCTTTTCAGTTGGTCATTTTAAAACTCTATGGGATTTATAAAACATAGTTGATAAATACCTTTCGCCAAGAGCATTTTGTTTTCTAAAGTAGTTCTGAAGAATTTAAAAATGTAGAAGCAGTGTAAGTTTTCAACTTTGTTTTATAAAGCCTTGTGAATAAAATAAGTAAATGAGACTGTACGTTTGACCAAATATTTACTTTATCGATACTGAGACCTATTTTGTTTTATATATTTCAGAAAAATGATCTCTGTTGCCCTGTTATACTTCTGTATTATACAATCTATGTCATGGTGCCTCATTATGATGTCACCACAATATACAAATTCTGCTATTAAATAAATTACTATTCAAATTTTTATAATTTTTATTGTGTATGTATTTTGTTTTACTCCATATCTCATCTTTAAATAGATAAAAAAAATGTTTTGCAAGTTGCATTCTCTTGTATCAAACAGGTAAAAGGAAACTTTTAACCTTATAATATCCAGTAAATTCAAAAAATTGTATACAATTACAAGATTGTAACATTCTGAAGTGATAAAATAACTGCTTTTAACATCATTACATACAATATTAGAGATTAATTTACAGTACAAGAGTGGTTGGATTCTTTTTGATCCTGACCAATGATATAAGTTAATCTTATGCAAAAAGCTAGTATACTGTCGAATTTTACTAGTCATACTGTACATTTGTGAATAATCAGAGAGGTTAAATTCTCACTGGTAGATGCAAATTGTGTGCGTATTTAGAAATGTATTAACAATTTCATAAAATCATAAACCCTAAGATAATCAGTTGAGTCGACATATTCTTCACTCCACACCCTTATTTTTTATCATTAACATCAATTGAGTTATCTGTTGCTTCACACTGGAAGATTATTTCAAATAATTCCAGGATGGCAAGATAAGTTGCTCGTCTGGTAATTCTGTTTTCATAAGTTATCAGCGTATTCTTAGGGACCTAATACTTAAATAAAGGAAAAGTAAACAATAAATACATGAGGCATGTTCTTAACCCAAGCTAAATTTTCAGAGAATATTTAATTCAAAATAGCATTTAAGAATCCATAATTACTTTGTTATTGATAATGCATTGTCAATTTTTGTCATTTTTTGCGGAAGTCTGAATGCATTGTCATTTTTTGAGGAAGTGGGAAACATAATTCTTCAATAATTAGTTATTTCACCCCTGTAGGGTAATTTAATTTGTTTACTTTCCTGCGCAAACACTGATCTTTTTAAGAAACTTTGTTTTTATTTTTATTGAAGATCATAAAAAACTCATTATAAACATTATTCAGCAAAAAGCCCTGATCCAAGATCATTTAGCATTTTTCTCTGCATATAATTCAGTATCATTTTTATTCAAGAATGCAGGACACTCTCACTCCCTAATTGTATATTCAACCTAAAGTCTACACAAAGTCCCTGTAGTCAGATAGCAGTTATTAATCATTGAGGAATTGTTGATCACTAGGGGGCGGATGTTATTGAAATGTATTTTTTTTCTTTTTGCTGTAGAACAATGCCGTTTAGAATAAAAATTAATTTTATGTAATGGTAAAAGAAATACTGACCCATTTTTAAGTCTTTTTTTGCATTTTTTGTCTATTTTGATTAATAAGTAATTTTTAACCTTTTCAGTCATTTTTAATACATTTTTTGCTGATTTTATGCCATTTTATCATGAGTCTATTTTAATATCATTTTAATGGTACTTGCTTCGAAAGATGCAAGAAATTTTCTCCACAGAATGCCCGAGTAGCCTATTTGATTTCTTTGCTTAGATATTGTAATGTCAGCTGTTGTATGTAATCTAAGATTCCTGTGATGCCTATCAGCACCACTGTCGGTTTGGCTGATTTCGGGATATCTAATGCCAGAGATTTTCTGATTAAGAACAATCCAAACCAAAAGTTTACATGCTTAGTGCACCTGAAAGAATAGCAGCACGTGTGGGTGGGTGTGGGTGCGTGTGCGCGCACACACATACAGGCTGGGCAGCCAATCTGTAACGTTTTGATGATTCTTCTAATTTAATTTGCCCTACAATGCTTGTAAATCAACTGCTCTAATAACATAGTGTGGCTAGCTCTGTTTTTTCTTTAAAATCTTGCAAAACACATGAAGCCTATATATTTTTAAATGCAAACTTCCTCCACAACAACAAATGTAACTATCATTAAAAAATGTAAACATTTACCCACTCATACCTCACATGAACAATACTCCTCAGTCTACACTATTATGAACTGATCAAACAAACATTACCCACAACATAAATCTTCAATGGCAAAATTAATATGATACAATGCTCATTACTATCTGAATTACAATGATACAATGTTCATTACTATTTCGCTAAAGCTAAATTTTCAATTTTGAAATACGTTTGTGTCTATGTTTTTATGTCCTAATCTCATTTACAGAGTTCCTTGTAAGGGTGAGTATTTGTGTGTTATGGTTGCTGGGTCCTGTATCATAATTGGAGATTATGTATGTGATTTTTTCTTCAAGATGATTAGGCCAACTGCTGTTTCTTGGAATGTCTAGTTGGTGAATCTATTATATCAAAACAAGATTATAGGATGGATGCTTGATGCTGTTGGATGGAAGTTGACATTTACATCACCACAGATTAAGGTAGATGTGAACAATTTATCCAAGATTATAGTTTTAATTGTGTTTTTTAAAATACTTGATTTCCATTGTGGTTGTTAATAATTCTTAGGAGGGAAAGATGTTGCTTTGGAATTACTATCCTTGAGCATTCCATGTCTGAGGCAATATTTAAATTCAGTTTCTTTGTTGAAGACTTGATTATTGGTCAAACATACACATGTGCCTCCATATGTGCAAGTAGAGTGACGAGTTTGGCCTTTCATTGTAGGAAAACTACTAGGTACAAGCAAGTTGGCATTAAAGGCTTTCCCAAAGATAAGTAGTTCAACAACTAGCATACAACCAGGAACTTAAATATGAAGTTATTATTAATTAAAAATTAAACTTAAGGGGAATTTAAACTCTTAATACACTAGTACAGATTATCAGAAATCAACTGGCCAATTTACTTAGCATTGCCAAATACCGATTTACATGAAACTTGATTTTCACCTTGAATCTGGATCACCTAATTAGTGACTAGACAAGTTTTCATAATTACGGGAGATATGATTATTAGTTTACGCAAGCACAGAATATTTGCCACAGGATTCTGAAGAAAATATAAAATGTGAAAAGGAAAGAAATAGGAATTAATACAAATTATTTTCATATATTTTATTTAACAAAGAAAGCGATCACTGATGATAGTGAGCTGCACAAGCAATGTATGAGGCTTGCTTTCTATACACAAAGCCTTTAAAAAATACCATTATAAGCTTCATCACTTCCACTTGCTTCATTTATGCTCTATTATGTGGATGATTACCCAATGTTTTCTTATGTGACATTGCTTTTCTAATATTCACTTCTGGATATAGTTTTTCTAATGTTGCTGTATCAATGTGGGGAAACCTCTTCAGTAAATGCATTACATGGTTTCGCTTTCGACTGAAATGAAGAAAATTGTTAAGAAAGCTTGATAAATAGGGGGGAAGGGGCAGAAAAGGAACATCCCAAACTATGTGAAACTTGTTGGAAAAACTTTATATTTCTATCCAATTATGAGTATCAAGCACAAATAAAGATATATTAATTTTAAAAGCATATGATGATTACAATTTATGGTTTATTCAGTAGGAAATTCTTAAACTTAGCTTTTCCCATAATTTAATGGTATTTCAATAACGAGTGTGAATTTTAGCTGAAAATTGACAATACATGCTCCTCTACTAAAAGTGGCATTTAATATTAATGACCTGGAAGAAATAACTTACTTTCTCGCTTTCCTTTCCTCATTTGCTATCTTCTCCCTGTAGAGTTTTTTAAATTTAGCAACAGCAGATCCTTTAAACAATGTCATTAGTCGATAATGCCAATGTTCATCGATGTGTTTTGAAATACGTTTTCCAGCCAATTCAGGAAACTGCTTCAATCCTGTACATAAATATTTCTCTTGTAAGATACCTTTGACCAAGCAGTCTAGCGATAAATATTTCTAAAGGTACACAGGAAAATATTATTTTATAGACTTTTATCATTTAATTACTATATAATAAAAAATATAAAATAAATACCATATCATTTAAAAAAATATCTGAATATAGAACACAAAGATTGGTAAATTGAACCAGAAACAAATGGTTGGCCAGTTTTGCCAACATCAAAAGTGTTAATAAATACATATATTTCAAAATAACAGTGAACAGCTGAAATATTGCTCCAATTAAATAGCAGAATTACAACAACAACAACAACAACAACAAAAAAAAGTCTAATAATTGAGCTAGCCACTATCTATTGAGTCAAAAAATTGCCAAACGAGGTTGTTAGGCTGAGTTTGCTAACGAATTGTGTATTGTAATCAGATGTTACGACACAAATACTGTACAGTGTTTTATCCACTTTGCAAAAATTTGTTAGATTTGACGTGAAATTTTTCTATGCCTTCATTTAATGTTCACATTTTTTCTCCTGTGTCGACACTGGTCTCAACAAGAAAAACAATTGAAACACACTATGTGTGTACTTTTCACATGAGTGAACATAGTTCTGATTCGGAAATAGAAATATGAGCGGGAGTATTTAATTTTGAAAGATTGGTATAAAAAATGTTCATTTCATTCATATCAGAAAAAGTATTGATAGCTTACTTCTATGGCAAATCAGAGAAGAAGAAACCAAGTAGTCTTTGGAACCACTACTCTTATGTTAAAGAGTATTATCGTTTTTAAAGAGGAAAGGTGAAGGATACAAGTCAAAATAGCCCAAAACATTTTTAAAAGAAAAGTGGCAATGTATGCCATCACTTTACCGCCCTAGGGTCGCAATGAAATACATTATCACAATAGAGCGGTAAAGTACTTCATTACGAAACTGATTATAATGGTATAATGTTTGATTTTACCTAACCAAAGTGGATAAAATAAGATAAAGATAGGTGTCTTAACTAAATTACTTAAAAGTGCCTTGAAGTAATTGAGGTATTATATAGTTAATTTGAAGTTAAGAAAATTCAGTGATTTTAAGAGGGGTAAAAGTGCAACAAGAATAAGAAAAAAGAACTTCATTACAATATGGTGTTCTCAGAAGTTCAAAAAATAGGTAAACAAACAAATTAATTGCATGATTAACAAAATAATTAAATGGAGGAACACACAAGCACAGATTTAAGAGAAAACAAAGAAAATTATGTAGTTAAGACTAAGCAAATATTTATGCTTACTATATACTTAGCGTGTGTGTATTTTGTACTATATTCTTACTTAATCTCTGAACTCTTTTTTATGGAATTCCAAATTGTTTACTTTAATATTTGTGTACTTCAGATCCTAATCACAGTACTTGGAAATTCATACATTTAATTACATTATTCATGATTCATATAAAAGCACTCTGTATGTAATATTTCTATTTATGTAAATGATATACGTGCACATTTTTTTATAGACAAACTGAACATGAAGACTAATAGCTGCACAAAACAAATATTTGTAAGTAGCTTCTGGACCAACATATTCCTTATCAAAAATTAGTATAAAATATGTAAATTAAAAACTTGGAAGTAAGAAATGAGAACAGAAAACTTTTAGTAATTGCCTAGAAAAAAGTTTTTGATGACAAAAAAGCTAAATATTATGTAATATTACTTCTACATAATGAATAAAAGAAAAAATAATGTATGTTTTTAATATACATATTCTAAAATGTAAATTGCCGTTGTTCTTCACGGTTTTGTTTCTTCCAAAATAATTTGATTGTCATGAGGTGCAACGGTCATGCATGCGATTGCCATGATCACCTGGCAGGTAAGAAAACATTTTCATTATGCACAGCAATTTTATAGAAACTTTGTCTTCAATGATTCAACATTAAAACACACTAATGTCACATTAATCCTTTTGCTTAAACATATGCAGATAATGACAAATTTTGGATGCGAGCAGACCTATGGCACACAATGTTGATTGCAAAGAATTTGAAAGAATAAAATATTCACAAAAAAAGTGCAAGCAAATTTTAAACATTCTTGAAAGAAAAGTACATCCTCTTATCACAAGTCTCCTGATAAAAGAAACAAATTTTCGAGCATTATTTATTAATTTATATAAAATTTTACCAAGTTCTTCATGGTCAAAAACAGCTTCCTTTTCACCCGTTTCTCCTGTCTCCAGTTCAAAATATGCTCTATTTCGTTCTCTGACAACACTTTCGAGATTCTCCATACTCTCAGCTACCTAGAAATCATAGAACAATTATTTGGTTGTAAGTCTTTCATTTGTTTACCTTTAAAGATTTGTACTACTTACTTTATCTAACCTTTCAGGATTAGGAAACAAAGCAACCTTTTCCTTTGCTTCATGTTCCATGGTTAACAACATATTTCTCTCTTTCAGTAAAACGTACCTAAGTCAACAACCAATATACGTCTTTTATGTCAACTTACGTCTTTCTTCACAATAATAATGCATTAATGTAAAGCAAACATACCACAATTTGTGTAAATCTGAATTACTTTTGATACGAAGTTCTTCTTTTTTCCATGCTCTCCCAACTTTCACTTCAGAAGCTCCCCAATTTTTTTCATCATCAAAGAATTCCATCAAATCATATCTGGAAGATGAAGTGTGCAAAAAGGAAGCTGCAACACACCTTACTGCGCCCTGAAAATCTCTGTAAGAAGAAAACATATTTAAATTTTTACCCTTTTATAATGAAAAGCAAAAATATCAACTTTTGAGAAAGTATTTCGTTTTAGCATCAATAGGAATATTATACTATACACACCTGGCACAGGTGATCAGTTTTCCACGCGAACAACCGTTGCAACATGTCGAAAAAGTTGACGTTATGGAAGAATTAAGATAATTTATTGGCGTAGCTAGGTACTTTAATTTGGTTAAGACAAACATTGTTCACAAACTCTTAGGAAAATTAATACACATAACCTGTCATAACCCTTGTTTTCAGTCCAGAATCCATGCATTAGCTGGAAGTCGCATAATCGATATTTCTTAAATTCGATTCATCGACAGAAATATCGATTCCACTACTTGCGAACTTTGCTATTACTTCGAGTTAGGAAGTTTGTTCTCGCCGTAGCGGACAACACTATCGATCTGTGCGATTGCGGAGATGCACTAAAGTGGTGCGAAACTTGAAAAGTGCGCATGGGCCATTCACGTCAAATCGCACAAATTTCAGGAAAATTTGACCGTGATGTCCCAGATTTTAAAACTTTTTCCTGCGAAGGGTATAAGAAAAAAAAAGAAACACATGTTTTTAATTTTTTGCCCAAATATTAGTTTTTGAGATTATATTAATTTTCAAAAATTTTGAAAAATGCGCACATTGCACATTTTTAACTCGTGTTGTAACTGTGGCAAAAATTTCATATTTTGTGACATTAATGAATAAAAGATGCTCTTTCATTTCATGTATATATTGAATTCATTAATTTGTTTAAATTATTTTTTTCCCTATTTTTTTTAAATTTATCCCCAAACTCGACAGTTTAAAAATTTGAAAAAAATATCATTGAAATCTCTGAAAAGTTCTACACAAGTTTGACAAGTTACAAAGTGGGACATTGAAATGATTCTGAGAAATTAAATAAAATAAATATGTCTACTTGCTGTTTTTCTGCTATGTGCTAGAGCATCACCCCCCTCAAGCACGTACCAATCAGCAGTACAGGATTACTATCAATATACTTTCACATAACAATAAATAGAAGTATCCCTTCACATCTTACTATGTGTAGTATGCAAATATATGACCTTCATAGCCAATTAAATTCTAATTAAAAAGTGTTGAACGGATTCAATATGGTATAAACGGACAGAATATAAACGGACGGAATAACGAATAAGAGTATGTGATCCAGTTAATTAATTTGAAATACTCTTTTAGAAAACTCTACAGAAAAATTACGTCGCAAAATAAAAAATACATCCCTCCTCAAATCAGAATGAACTAATCCCCCATTCAAAGTAAATTTTACTAACCACTATAGCCTGAAATTATGAGATCATTTGAACTGCGCGCCAAGAGCAGTGGTAAAAGCTTCGCCATATGATCAAGAGATGGCGCGAGAGTTTAGAAACTTTCGTAGGTCCATCAATGTTGCGGAACGTTTAGGAATCCAGAAATAGTATTCTTTCCTCCTTTAGAGTAAACAGATTTTTAAAAGTATTTCGACAGTGCTAAACTTATTCAATTTCTATTTTTTTCTTATTCAAGTAAATTAACACGCTTTTAGCTTTATAACGGCAATAACTAACAAAGAAAACAAAGTTCTCGCCCATAGCAATGATCGTCAAAACAGTGCAGCGAATTTTAGGTTTGGGAATTCATTTTTGCTCTTAATTGCTCTTAAATCGTGGAAATAGTTGGTTGATGGCACCGTCCGGAATAATTCAGAATAAATCTGCTTTAGTGTACAGATATTAAAAAATGTAATTCTACAATTTTTGTAATTACCATGTCTCTACGATATTATTTCAAACGATACGAAAATGAAAGAAATTTATTGAACATACCAATCGTTCATACATTTTGACAATTGTTTAGGACAATAAAATATAACTAGATTTCATGGTAATTTATTATTTGTTTAAATAGCTATCCCAATCTATCTTAATTTATTCTTCGAAAATTTATTTTATGTCACCGTTTTACAAAAATACATACATTTTTTTAACGTAGTTCCTGATTTTGAAGGCATTAAATTACAGAATGTGGCCTCTGCTTGCTGAAAATTATCGTCCGGCACTAAAGTTTCTTTTTCCAGTACAGTTGCATCGAAATTCCGGACCGGTATATTATCATTTTCAAATAACAAAAAATAAAGCTTTTACAAGAGTACATACTTTCTCGCTCTAATTGTAACTTTTGGAATTTTCGAAAAGTTAGAGAATTCAAGGAAAATGAGACATGCAATTTTTATGCGTCTTTTTCTCTAACTGAAGTAGAAAAAAAAAGAATTTGGAGCCTTTTTAAAAATATTTTTTATAAATTCCATTAACGTCAAGCAACAATTAACAACATTTTTTCTAAGTACATGACTTTATTTAAAGCTCTAATTTTTAAAACAAATTCCATTTAGGAAAAAAACTTCAATATTGTACTTTTACAATGTCAATTTTTTGCAAAAGTTTGCGAAACTGCAAAGTTTCTTTACTACGTAAGTAGTAGGTGAGAAAGTAAAAGTTGTTTCGCATGTTCTCTTAAAAATTCGATTGGTTATCTTTTTAGCTTAACTATCGTTGTGCTAGATAATCTTCCAGTCTCATCCCTAAAAAACAACCAAGTCATAGATGACTTGTAAAGTAAATAAATATTGAAATATGAAAATTTCTATTTATTTCAATTATTTTTAATATCTGACTTATGATTTATGTCATCACAGATAAATCACTTGAAAGACTAAATTGAAAATTTGAATATCGACAACAGCTTTCAATGCATGATGTGTGTATTATAGAAATAAACAGATACGAGTATTATACACTATGTGATCAAAAGATTCCTGACACGTCCAAAATGGTGATATGGTATGGTCGTGTTTTTCATGGAGGCGGTTTGCAACCCTTGTTGTTTAGTGCGGCACTTTCACGGCGCAGGCCTACGTTGATGTTTCGAACACCACCTTGCTTGTGTTGAAGCAATTCTGGGATGGCGATTGCATCTTTCAACACGATCGAGCACCTGTTCATGCTGCACGGCCTATGGCGGAGCGGTTGCACGAAAATAACATCCTTGTAATGGACTCGCCTGCACAGACTCCTGACTTGAATCCTATCGAACACTAGGGATGTTTTGGAACGCCAACTTCGTGCCAGGCCTCCGACCTACATCGATACCTCTCCTCAACGCAGCACTCCGTGAAGAATGGGTTGCCATTCCCCAAGAAACCTTCCAGCACCTTATTGAATGTATGCCTGAGAGAGTGGAAGCTGTCATCAAGACTAAGGGTGAGCCAACACTCTATTGAATTCCAGCATTACCAATGGAGGGCGCCACGAACTGGTAATTCATTTTCAGCCACGTGTTCAGATACTTTTGATCACATAGTGTATATGCTGTGTATATATTGGTCGCGTCTAGTTGGGTTCCCAGTGTGAGTTGGTTTCGCGTGCGCAGAACGTCTAATGCTGCAATCGCAGGATGCGTGTTTTCGGGGCCAAATTGCACGCGTGAAGTTGAAAGACGCTCGTGCAACTGGACGCGTGTGCGCTGTTCTATCCGCACACTGCCTCTTCGCCGTTCAATGGATCTGATGACATGTACTGCCTACACTCATCATCAGATGAAGGAAAATAGTAGAAAACCATTTGTAAGAAAGAAAATATTAAAGAACCGAGGGATTAGGGAGGAACATTTTACTTCGATTTGTAATATATCTATAATTGTTTTGGAAGAAAATTTTAAAATAATTCAATGAGAATAACACTTCCTTTCTTGATTTTTTTTTAGAATTGGTTTGAATTTTTTAGGCAGACATTCGTTCACATAATACATTTTTATTAAAATCATATAAATTTTAGACGTTTCAAAGATCTTTGGCCTTCATCTTCAGGGCATAATAAATATAAGTGAATACAATAGGATTGAAACAATTCGAAAAGCTGTAAATGAAAAAATGTTTCAATTAATCTATGACATACCCTTTTTCAATTTTATTTTTGTTGACAATTACTTCATGTTATGTTTTTAATTTAAACGTAACTAAAAATCATAAGAAAAACAATTAAAATTATAATTTCATTCCTGTCAGAGAAATTGCATCAATTAATAATTTAATTTTATAATTCACCTGAATAAAATACATGCAATACTTCATGTGAGTTTGAAATATCAACACATGTTTTACATGTTTTAATGTCTGCCTAAAAATTAAAGAACCAATTCTAAAAAAAAACAGTATCTATTCTTTACGCTAAAGCAACAACATCAATGTGTATGATTCCCTTTGAAATATGTAACCTCAGGCGCTAGCAGTCTTCAATAAAACACAAGTTATTCTAATTTCTGTAAAGGATGGTATAATCAAGTCATAGATGTTGTAGTAAAGAACATTATTGACACTTCAACAAGATCCAACAGATCTGGTGCTAAAAACCAAAGCTCAATAGCTCTAGAAAAACATCCTCAATGTTTTGAATAGTGCACACCATTTTCTCTCTGGGCGAAACGCACGGTCAGGCTTGCGAGATTTCTGTTTTCTAGGGAAAGTCGTACGCTATTGCACACGTCCTTTCTTTCCGAGAAACGCATGCGCTATTAGCGCAATTGCATGCGTTATAGACGCACTCACAAAATTGAGCGAAAAGACTTGTTGCGTGGGCTCGGCTTAACAAAACTGCGCATAGCGCGTACCGTTTTCGGCCTCATCTCGTGATCCGATTCGTATCTTATCGTTACCTGTAGCCATTGTGGCGAGTGTCACGTGTTGCGTACTCGGGGCGTGATATACACTTTTACCAGAGCACCCTTCAAGCCACTCTCTTCTGAAAAAGTTCCGTCTCCCCTTTAAGGCAGTGCGTCTGTGGATCCGCCCCCATTAAAGAGATGCACTTTAGGAGCGGGAGGCCACGAGTGAGCGGGGGAGCCCGGGAGCCGTCGCGGCCAGCGGGGGGGGCGGGGGCGAGGGCGGGGGCGAGGGGCGGGGCGGGCTATAAGACCAGCTGCTAACGCGCGGAGATTAATCGCCTCGGTGAAAACACGCATGGCCGCTGCTCGCCTCCGGAACCGCCGCGCGCCGCCCCCCCCCCCGCCGAGGCGCCGGCAGTGCGGCCCAGCCCGCAGCCCTCCGGCCCAGCGCTTCGGCGCCGATCCACCTACAGCCGTTCAGGGCGTCAACTGATGTCTCCGCAGTGCCTCTGGGGATCTACTCCCGACGGTGGCAGAATTTTCGACCCTGGCCAGACAGCTAAGGCGTGTCCTGTCGCTGGCTGCTCTGTTGAGTAGTTTTCTGTGGGTAGTCAACGGTGGGCTACAGTCAGGCACAGGATCCAAGGTATATGGAATGTCTTGTCCTCAAGTGAAGTAACCAGATGCTGTTTACTAGTCATGAATAGGTGTTATCTCAAACCCTTTATAAGCACATTTTACTGCAACGCTGAACATGGATTAGTTGTTTCTTCATCAACAAGCGTAAAACTGGGAGAAGGACCTCAGGGGATCAGCTGACGTCACTGCAATGCCTCTGAGCGGGAGGTTCGAGATTCGAGCCCCGACGGTGGCTGGCTTTTTGATAGCTAGGTTGTGTTTCGTCGCTGTCTGGAGGATAATTCTGGCGGCTAGCTGTTCTGATTGGTAGCTTTCCGTGGTTTCTCTGTTTAACACCAGTTGAATGCTGGAGCAGTACCCTAAACGACGGGTCACGGAAAGCGTGCGATCTTTCCTTCCTCTTCCTTGTCTATCTTCACCCCTTACACACACTTACACTAACATGCACTACACTACCACACATGCTGGGGGACCTGACGGGAGCTTAGAGCTTGTCCCGGCTGGGGCGGTGCCTTTCTGATGGGTGATACCTGGTTGGAAAAAATCCCGCGTGTGGTCCCCAGCCCAGTTGTTAGGGTTGCTGCTCCAGCATTTGGCAAGTACTGATCGCAGAAACTACGGGAAACTACAGTAACCTATAAATATACGGTGGATGTGAAGTATTGTTTGAGGAAAGGAGAGTATAAAATATGTGTATGCAGTCTATGTGGACAGGAGATAACTTTTATGTTGAAAGATGATTTTATGTTCCACTGACATACTCGATGGAACAGAACATAAAATGAAAAAAAAATCCAGTGACGATTTCAAATGATATTGTAAATATTATCACATGTTAAAATATTTTAAAAATGAAGCACCTGGAATTCGACTTAAAAGTAAGCTTGTTATTACCATTAATTTCATTGAAGAGAATTTTAGTTAGGAAGTCTTTTTTGAAACTAATATTTACATTGAACACTGTACTTAATATTTTCGGATTAATACTGACTTAATTTTTATGGCAAACAGGAAAGTTGAGATCTTTACTTCACCTGCAATCAAGCAAACAAGTCACCGTGTAGTAGTTTGCAGATTAACTTGAAGGATAAATTGCTGGCTATTACCTCGCCGTTTGCGTTTACGTGTACAGGCGTGTATAAATTGATTGCAATTTGTCGAGGTTACATTTTGCAACTTATTTCCACGAAAGCGAGGCAATCTTCTTCGACCATCAGAAACGCTTGTTGTGGTAGACCAGTGTTGAGTAGTAAGGTGTGTTCTGCACGTGTTGAACGCACGAGAGTATGCAAGAGTATGACCTCTAAAATCAACATTTACATCTCGTAGTTAGTCCATCCTTCTTTAGGGAGTACATAAATGAACGAGAGACGAGTAAATGGTCTACGTGATCCAGGTAAATAGAAACATCGTTCAAACGATCGAGAAAAAAGGTTATTTTGCGGGAAGAAAGCAGTTGGCTGCTGTTCCGCACCCGTGTGTTCAACCCAGGCGTCATCTGAAGCCTAACCCCGGCGTGGGTTTACTCGGCCTTCCGGTGGGGTACCCGTAGATGCCTGGGCGTGACTCACCTCTGACAGAGTCTATCTTAGGTAGGAGCTTTCTGGTTTGCTGTCTCCAATGAAAGGCTGCCCATCTGGTCACAAGAGAGATGTAGTAAATTCGGCACTCTAAGTTATACTTGTGATACGAGGTAGAGATTTAGTAAATAAATGAAAGGTACATTTGTTATTATAAGTATTAATATTTTTACTCCCGTTAACCAAAAATTAAACTGGGCTTTTCAATAGAGAAACGTTTCTCGAAGTACACCAGGGAAGATTGATGTAAGCCCAATGAACCATGTTTTTGAACGAGCAGAATGTTAAAAGTCCCCCAAACAAGCTGTCACCAGCTTACAGTGTTTATCAAGAAATATTCCAGTCTCCTTTCTTGTTCTGCCAGGCTCTCGGTTGAATGTTTCGTCCATAAAGAGAGAACACGCCCAGTTGGTTTGCAACTTTTCCTCACTTCTCTCCGAGGACGTCCCATGGCGCTAGCTGCCCCCGCCCCGCCCCTCCCCTCATTTCCCCTCCGCGCCACTCCACTCCACCGCGGCCGGCGCGGCGCTCGTCTTGCCTCGCTCGCGCGCTTTTCGTATTTAAATGCTAATCGGCCGAAAATTGACATGTAATTTACTTATTGTAATGCTGGCGAAATTGCCTGGAATACATTGGACGTACGCCCAGTTGCCCAAACTGGTATTTTGGCAAGCTCCCCGGTGCGATAGAGCAATAGACAGAAATGTACGTTGGTCCTGTAATATGAAATGAATGAATGTGTTTGAATGCCAGCGTCGTGTTCTGTGTAAATTGTTCTTTTGTAATATTGCTTTCCTTTGTGGTTCGAGGTTACATCCGAGACGAATAATCATCACAGTAAATTATTTATCGGTTTTTGTTTGTGTATGACTGTTCACCATGACGGAGAGTACTTGTGCATAGTCGTACAAGTGTGGGGTCGTCAGTGAGTAAACGGGTGCTTTTATGTATGTTCGCTGCTAAGAAAAAGCTAGTAGTTGCATGAATAATTCCTAATTTTATTACCAATTAGTTCTGGGTGAACGATACATGAAAAGCATCTTTTGATTATAAAGAAATATGTTAAAGTTATATTCGGTGAACAAGTGAAACTCTCTTACTCTAAAAATACGTATTTTGAAATAAATCAAGTTGAAGTTGTTTCTGTTAAATTTGTCTACTCGATAGTATCTTTTGATAGATACGAGATCCATTCTGTTTTTAAACACTCTCGGTGTGTAATAGTCTCAGCGCTGTTTCTCGACGCAGAAATCGAGCACTCGCGATCTCTAGCGGTGAAAGGGTGAGGCGAAACCGCGAAATACGGCGCTATCCATTTCCGTAAAATTTAAAATGCGTCTGATTGGATCCGACGGAGTGACGCCGACAGGTGGGAGTCATGTGAGAATTCGAAAGACATTTTTCAGGCAGGGATGTCAAGAAGACTCGGCGGCCATTTTCTGCAGCTTCGTAATTGAACCATACAATTTATAAATTCAAGAAATTGCAACTGGTCATCGCGTGTGGCTGGCAGGCAATTTCAAGTGAGTGAATATAGACAGAATTAATTTTGATTAGCTTACAAAGTGTGTGTGAAATTCTTCTTGAAACAACACGAAATAATCGTGAGCTAAGACACGAGTTCAGGCAAACATACTTCAAACCGTTGTAATACATGCTATGAACGGTTTTATGCGTTGTGAGTGTGGTAATCATTTTGTGTCCATATACATACCATGGCTTGCGTCGAACTGATATACGCACAGTTCTGAGCGGTTTCAGTTCATGATAAAACATTTAGTAGCGAGGGGAATCAAATGATTCTGATTTGAATACCATGCAACGAAATCCGTGTGCGGTGATACCGCGTTTTAGGATTGGAATAGAAGAATGAATTTTCGAAGTGTGATGGGAATCGCGAATATGTAGCCCAATGACGAGGCCAAGCATTTCCATTCTGTAATTCCCTTCTGAGCTGTTTACGTTCTCTCGTCGGGTTCGTTGACAGCTTGAGAATACGACGTGGGTAATTTCCAAGGTCAGGGCTGTTCTTGAAAGTGCAATTTTTATAGTACTGATATGAAGAAAGCGTTAGAAGCGTTATTTTGATAAATGACAGCTCCTCATCATAATTGAATCGTGTATTTCCGAAAACCGTTAAACACCAAATTCTACAAGTAATAGACACAGTAGCGGCGGATTATTGTTCCAAGAGGATAGACACATAGTGTTAGTGCATATTTATATGAAAAATATTTATTTATCAACTGCTTTATTACATACAAATATTTTGAAATCAGTTAAATTGGGAGAATTTTTCTCAGTTTTTTCGGGATGAGGAATTTGGCGTATGATGGATTTCTGAAATAAACTATTCTATTATGAAATATCTAAAAATGAGGAATATTAATGTGAATGAACGAAAGCATAGAGGATTTAAGTAGTTTGGTTCACTTTCAATAGCTAAATATGGGAATGAATATATTTATTATGCCTGCAGGAGAAATAAGTACTTACTTTGAATCTGCCTAGATATGATAATAATACTTTATAATTAATTATTATAAGACTTTAGAGTTGATGAATTTGGTTAACATGCCATGATTATTTACTGGTGAAACCGAATCATAACAAGTAATGTAATGGTTAGGGAATATCTTCAAATACTCGTTATTATTTATGATAATTAAAAGACGGATTTCAGGCATGCTGAAGTCCTTGCATATAAACGTGCCATATGAAAAAGTGTGACTGCCTCCCTCTCTGTAGCACCTAAGGGTTATATTCATGAACAGGACTTAAACCAAAGCTTACGTAAGTTTACTATGATAGCTGAAGTTGACTTTCGAACAAATCGGATTCATAGACAAAACGTCCTTAAAGTAAGCACTGGCGGAAATAAACTTTGATGAGTTACATTTGAAACTAGTAACATTTCATTTTTTGCTGGTATTCTCAGCTGTTTCGCTTGCAGAAAGTAGGCAGAAGTACGTGTGATTGTTGCAGCAATTCATCCTATTGACTGTAGTGTGATTATTTATAACATCTTAAAAATCCATTTCATTTAAATATGACCTTTATTTGTATTTATTGAATTAGTAATTAAATGTTAATAATGGGGTCATTTCTTGTCAAATATCCCCAAGAAAGCTGGATTTTCAAACCTTTCCACCCGTATTTTGTAAATTGTTATAACACTAGTAAACGGGAAGTTTTATTGTAATATGTAGATTTCTATTTCTCTGTCTAGAATTTTCTGCGAAATAGGTAAATAAGAATGAGTCTTTTGCCAATTCAAACCTCAATAACTCAAAAGTAATTAAAAAATAATTGGGACAGATGTCTCCAGATTGAGTGTGTGGATGATTTTACATGGAATGATCCTGTAATTCAATAAAAAAATGTTTGCATCTGAAGTGTCAATATATTACGGTAAGTTTTTTCTTAATTTTATATTCTTACTGCAATATGTTTGCTCTCGGGGAGAAAAATCGAAGCATTCAAAGAAAATAATGTGAAATATCTGCTCATTTAACCCTCTTGCCATGCCTGGAGTATTTTTGAACTCCGAGATTATTATTTTGTCAATATTTCCCTGAATATTTGCAGGATAATTTCAGTCTTCTAGATATGCCTTCGTGCACTTATTAAGCGGGTACCACACCAGTTTAACATATTTTCGTAATTTTATTAGAGCGTTATATATATTTTTCGTTTCAAATATATTGTCATGATCTACAAGAAATCTGTCTGACACAGTAAGAGAAAAAAATATTTGTTAGAACATTAATATTCACATTGATTATTGTGCATACGGTAGGCTGACTTACTCCTAGTAAATTTCCAGAATCAATTTGAAAGTTATTTGAAAACCCAGAATCAGCTACTATTATTGACAAAATAATAGCTAATATGAATCAACACTTGAACAAAATCTAACAAAATATTGACAACTCAATGTTAATGCGTTCTGGAAGCGCAGGAATATGAAACAAATTTCGGTGGTACACGTGAAGGGCATTGCGACCAATGTTTGGTTGTGTGCACCTTTCGCAATAAGGTTGCCGACGTCAATTTATTTTTAGTACTCCCGAAATCATGCCAATTAAAGCATTGAACTGGTCCAGGTGTGTGCATTCTATCTTCTGTTTTAATGACGCATTGCAAGAATCGTTGAACTGACATTATTTCTCGGCCTTTGTCGGAGTCTTCTAATAGATCTGCCCCCAAGAAAAGTTGATCGTGATTTGTATGTCCTGTTCACTTTCTTTGCTGGGTAATCCTAAACATTCAAGTAAATGTTTTAGATTTGTTATGTTAACAAAGACGAACTATTGTTCATACTACTCTTGAGAATTTTGATTTACAGTTCATAGCCGGTGCGTCTCGAGACATGAAGTTCAAAGGCAAGGCACTGCTTTTCCCAGTGCACAAAATGTCCTCGCTGCCAGTAAAAGTATTTCTGGCAATAGACTTTAAGGCGCATTTCTTTTGAAGTACCATGGAAAAGGAGTCATATAGTCAGACAGTAACTTGTGGCAAATCAGAAACCATTAGTCTCTTTTACATTACCGCTATTGATTGGATCCCCTGTGAATAATGACTGAACGAAATAGACACCGTGGACCTCACGAAGCACGCGACTAAAATAACATTAATAACTTTGGACGCCAATTCTCTGATGTACAATTTACGTGATACATCGCAATTAATACAGTTGAGTGTTCTGAGATCTCTATCGTGAGTAAGCGCTCGAACAGGAAATGGAGTTCATTTAAGTAAAGTAGTATTTGATACATAAAAAAAACTGAACTGACTTCGTATCGCCTAGGAGACATTACCGTGTTCACAAACAATGTATCTCATACGTTAACGAAGGGAGATATGAGACTGTGATTTTCTTCATAAAATGTTCTTAATAATATGATTATGTTGCAATCCAACTGATACATCAAGTTGTAAACTTGACATATTTTAATGTCATTGTTATTGGATTGTAATTTTCAGATGATATATTTTACTTGCTATTTCATTCATGAATGATTGCGCGAAAACTAAGAATGTGCGGGTCCTCTTACAAAGCAGTATAATACAGCGTACGTAAAACAGTAATTTGATGTTTCGTGCGCTTAACTGACAGATGTTCTTGAACCTGCAACATACACGCAAACACTATGATGTTATCAGCTTCGGGGAAAGTTTAATTTCCCCATAGGCAACAGAGTAATTATAAACTCTCGCGAGAAACAAGTCGACAGAGCTATTGTTCAAAGTAGTCAAGGGAGGTCAGGTCTCTCCTATAAGCTACCGAACTTTCATAGCAATGTTTCTATCACATACTTAAACTGAGATGAATTTTGCGCAAGATTATTCTTGTTTAAGGAATTAGTCTCACGTGAAGTTTGCCAAAGACGTGCGTGTATCCTACTTATTCCATTGAGTCAGCGAGATCGTTAACACTGCGTGTGAAGCTACCCAAGTCGTTTCTGAGAGCCGAACCAGTTGTGCAACTGACACCAGACATTGCAACCTGCGATGCCTGTAGTCCATTTCAGGAAGGCATCCAGATGGCGGACGACATCTAAGATCACCATGTGGTGCATGTGATGCATGCACCATGTGGTGCATCACCCAGTATTGAAGTGACATAAGTAAGGGTGACTTATGAAAGCAGTCATTGAAGTGAGAAAGCGAGCTCGTTGTAGTATCCGAAGAAAGTAGTGTCAGTGTGTCGAATTTTTTAACAATTCATTTTTAGTTACAATGGGGGAAAAAGTCACAAATGAAGAACATCTGTGTTTTAATTTCTAGCATGTTGGAGGTTCATATTTCCAGAGAAACTCAAGATAGACCTGGTATTTTGAGTTCTGATGTACACACTCTAAAAGGCATAAAAAGTACAATATTTCAATAGTCTTGGTGATCAATTAAATGGCGTGGTGAAAGTAATGCGAAGGCAAATTATTTTGCTGATCTCCCTAGATTATAACAATTTGAGCCTTCACTGCATTGTTGCTAAAATATAATACTATCATTTCCAGAAACGAACATCTCCACGAGACAATGTTGAGGAAAGGAACTTTGCATGACGTTATTGTGGTGTACATCTTCTGTTTAACAAGCTTTAGATATGCTTCTGGTGCTCCAAATGCACTGCTTAAATATGTAACGCGCAGTGCAGCAAGGTGCAACGCTGCAGTTCAAAACTCAACTGTGACATCTCATAATGATAGCGAGCAGGATGTAAGATTTGGTATGCCCCTCAATGCAACAGTATCGAGCACTGACTGCGCTAAAAATTGGTCACGTGCTGGTTGGGACGCAGAGATTGTGTACGTTCTCGCAACACATACCAAACAAACAGACGGTTGTGTCCAAGTTGCAATGGGGCAGCAATTTCCAAACGGAACATTTATTGGAGGAATGGAAGATGTCGCTTTGGGTAAGATAGATTTTTACGGTATGTCTCG